GGATCAAAACCTGGCAATGGAGCACCTCCCAGAGTGTAACCATGGGCCTCATCAGAGGTATCAGAACGTCCACAAACCATCCGGTGAAAGATTGACGCGATAGGGTCAATGATCGATCTGCATTTCACTGTCAAGATCCATTGACAGACAGAAGGGACGGGTGAACTGTGAAGGAGAAAAGGGTCCTTGTTTTATGAGCGAATGAAGCTGTGAGCTCATGGGAAACAATTCCTTCACCTGAAAAATTCCGGAAAGAAAGTAGAGAAGGCAAAGTCATCGCTTGGATCCCCTCTGAACTTTGTTTCTAATCTCCTGTGAATGTATCTGAGGTATAATCAACCGATTATGTACCAAATATCAAAGTGGGAAGATATGCAGCTGATTCTATCTAATGTGAAGAAGCTTGAAGTTATTGACAGGAGAAGCATAATAGACGGCAACCACTGAACACAGGAAGCAAAAGCAAGAATACCAAGCGAGGAAATCCTCCCACTAGCCGAGTTAACGTAAAGCAGCAAAAAGAAAATGCATGACACATTTTTATGCTTTCCTATTAGAAGGCGGACGGATACCTTTGCTTTTGTTCGTAATGGTGATAGCTCCTGATCAGGTTATCCCAACTAGGAGAGCCGCCAAGACACCATGGAAACCTGCACGAGGCATATACCAAGGCAGGAAAATAAGTAGACAACACTTATTATGCAGTGGTAAAGATCCGAAATATATATATATATCTCATGAAGCAAACATAAGCCATTCCTTTCGATCGATTTACCAAAATACATTTTAGTTCGCATAACGTAAGCCATTCCTTTTGATCGATTTTCATAATAATAATCCAAAGGGTGTGAGCGTAAATTACAGGTAATTGTCCCGCCTCATAGTACAAGGCAACAGCGGTGACGAAAACACATAGAGATGTAAGAAAGTTGACCAGGAAGATGAAATTCAGGAATTCATTGGAACCCCGGACAGGTTCGAGCAACTTCCCCAGAAACAGGAGACAACAAGGGTACTGAAGACAACCTGCAAGGTCGTATACAATACAAGAACTGCAGACCAGAAAACAGGGAAGGAAAGACAAGAAATTAAACTTGGGAAACAGGACGTACCCCATATATTGTCAGCTCAAGGTAACCAGCAGTTATCAGATTCCAGGCAAAGGGAATGGTCCTACAGTACAGAGTAGAAGGATAGAGAGTAAATAAGTCAAATTCTAACTTCGCATTGATACTTCACAGACTAAAGATTAGAACCCCAAGTAACTGAAGAAGGAAACAGCAATGAGCAATACATTCAAAACCCAAATCCTAAATCCTCATGTTTCCACGAAGTAGACAAAAATGCGATCCATCTAACGCGTCAGAGTGATAAAGGTTCTACCAAAAGGAAAGCAAAACTTGGCAGGAAAAAAAAAGACCCCATTGATCAACCACTATCTTCGATACCCAGATCCGAATCCTGACGTTTCCAGAGAGAAATACATAAATCGAGAAGTAACAAAGCGAAGAAAATCGTTGGAATCAGAGCGAGGTATGGAACAGAAGAGGGAATGAGCCGAACCACGATGTGCCCAGCAACGAGCACCACAGCGGGTCGCTTGGTGAAACCGGTGACGGCGAACATGCTCGTTCCCTGAATGACGTAACAAAAGGACAGAATCGAAATGCTGAAACGGTCAAGCAATGCGATTCGAAAGAGAAAACCGTCAAAACCATCGAGCGATTTCACAGATCTGATGTGACAGAGTAGAGAGATCAGTACCGGAGAACTCATGTCGCCGGCGAGAACAAGAAGAGAAAGAAATTGGGCTGACAGAACAGAAGTGGTCGACGGCAAAATAGTGAGTGACCGTCGATCGAATTTTTAAATTTAAAAAAAAAACTTAATCTCAAATTTTTAAATAAAAAATAGATTTTTTTTTTAAGGTCATAATATTCTTGCCCGACAAGAAGAGTTGACCATACCGAATTCCTTGCGCCCCAAGCACGATTCCTTCTATATATAATGCATTTCTTGTGGAAAACTTTCAACTCACAAATCCCTAACTCGGGAAAGAGATGAAGAGGGAAGGGCGGCAACACGGTGCCGTTCGGACTTTCCCGGCTCTTCCGGTGCCGTTCAACCCGCGGCGCGGGACCGGACCAGTTGACAGACAAAATCCACCCCCAGCTTTCGGGATATTTACGAAAGCGGCATCAAGGCCCACTAACGCCAACCATTCCAAGTGCATCGACTGGCATCTCTCTCCGGCCACAAAGTCCACCGACAAATCAAAGGGTCGCCGGAAACTGCAACCGACGGCTTGGTGGTCCGACGACGGTCTCGACCGGCTCACCGGCTCAGATTGGTCCTCTGCTGAGGGCATTTTGGACAATTTGTACGGTGGTTGCATGGATGATGATGAGGAATGATGGATACTTATGAATGATGATGAATCTGTTTGGATGTTGAAAGCATTTATCATTGTATTGAATTATGACACGAGAACAATGATGGATAATCTTGTATTTCAATTGGTATAATCTTGATTATGAACCTGTCACTTTCGGATTCTTCCGTATCCATCTTCGTACTTTACAAACTTTGAAAAGAAGAGGAAAAAAATAGGGAATATGATTTAAGTTTTGCATAATATGTAATGTACATAATGGCTGAGATCACGTAGATGGTCGCTTGAAAGAAAAGTCCCTGACGTTTATACTGATCTCATGTTGTGTCCGAATAGGTCCTGGTCCGGGAGGCAATGCAACATCAGGCCTTTGTTCCGAACTCTCGTCGTTGTTGTTATGATGCGTGGACGTTTCAGCCTCTTCTTGGTGGTGGTCCCACTGATCGAAATCCGAGTGTCTAGGGGAAGGCGAGGCCGAGAGACTCTCGTGACTGCGGTTCTGGAAGTTGCTGAGAAGATGGATGGGAGACGTGCCTCGGGTAGGCGTCGTAGGGCGGCTCGAGAAAGGCGTGGTCGAATTAGAGTGCTTGCTGTGTTTCGACTGCTTCTTCGCCGTGTGGTGCCAGTTCTTTAGTGCAACCGCTACTCTTTCGTTGAACACCGTCGGTTTCATCGTCGAACCCATCTGCGGAAAAGAAAAAAAAACTCGTTTCAAACACTAAATCACGTACTTGTGGTACTAGATTGTCGTAATAATATCTAAAAATGTGTCTGAACCTGAGTGACGAGGGCGTAAAGCGGGAGAGTTACGTAGCTGCAGAGAATTTGTACGATGACCCTGCAAGAAAATATGTATCACGATTCATTAGTGGATCGAAAAAAGTTTTTTTCTTGATTCGAGTTTAGTTTTGTTCTGAACTTACCCCATCACGACTCTGATGATCACATCTACCGTGCTTTCGTGGAAACAGTTCTTGAGGTTGAATTCGTACTGTAGATAACAACCGGTTTATTAGTGATAGTTCGAAATTTAATCGATCTCACGAAAAAGAAAACTGTGACATAGAATACTTACAGTACTCCACGCGAAGAATGCAAGTTGAAATGCATTCTGCAATAGAAAGATTAGATCGTTACTTTGATGAATAATAAGGAAATTTTAGTTGTAAACCAGAAAGATCGATCGGTGTACCGTGAAGAGAACCACGTGGATGAGGAAGAGGATGAAACGAGGGCGGCCGAACCAGAAGAGGTCATCCCCGGGCTGAACCACAGGCGCCCCCTTCACCACGTCTCCTTTCTCTTGAATTTGAAGCCCGAGTTTCGTTATTATGACCTGAAGCTTTGTCCCTACTATAAGAATCACCTGCAATAAGAGATCGGCATAAGATCGTCTTTATCGATGGAGAACATTGTCATATATGTGTTGTATCGTTTGTGTATACACTTACAACTAGCGGGATGAAGGGTAACCAGAGGTAAGAATTTATTCCTGTTCCAAGAAAACGAAGAAAAGAAGGCCGAATCAGTTAAGGATGTCTGACGTTGTATACGAGATAGAAGAGATTTAAGGCGTACCGTGTGTGTTGGTCAAGAGGAACAACACGGCGATGAACCATATGACAGGACTGCCAGATGCAAAAAACAAGAAGTTAAGTACTCATGATGATTGGTTATATAAAAACCGCGGCGGCGAATGTCTGGGTTGGACCGGTAGTCCTGACCTAATTCCGACGACCACATTGAAATCTTCCTCTAACGATCTCTGGATGTACTTGCGGAAATCAAATCTTGTTTCGCTTCCAGGCGCCAAATGAGCCTGAGGAACAAATGTCGAGCGATAAATATATCTTCATGAAGGGGTAAAAGTCAGAAGATCTCGGAAGGAGGAATTCATTACCATGATGAATCCGTGTCTGAGCGTCAGGTAATCGACCCTGGTGACAGATCCAAAGAACTGTCTGAAAAAACATACCTACGAACAACGAAAAAAAACTCGATGTAACTTATTAGGAACTTTTACAGCCATGATCATCATTTGCGGAAATCTCGAAAAAACTTACGATCCATAATGTAACAGTTGTTTTGCTCCAAAAGTTCAGATGCCTACGCCCGAAAGACGTATCCCTCGCAAACCTGAATCTCTCAGGATCTGCACAACAAAGTTCGGATCAGCTAAAAGAAACTTGTACATTTTCCATCGACTTGTCCGAAACTAGAGGATTACAAACCGTTGGAATATTGATATTCGATTGTCTTCGTCTCTTCCTCCCATTTCTTCCACCTCCTCATCTGCAATAACGAAACCCCTTGTCATTTTACGGATCATATCAAGCAGATAAACGCGTGCATAGTAGATATATATATATACGTGTACCTTGGTCTTCCCCAAAGCATAAGTTATGATACAGTAGACGACGTGACAGACCGCGAGAACAAAGATGAATATGTGCAGCTGATGAATGCCATATGCCGACACGAAAGCGACTTTCCCCTAAAGTATATATACGAAACAACGAGTTCCGGAATCAGCCACTTATTCCGACAAGGATAAAACAGAGACACGAGAGGATATAACGTCATTATCCTTACCTTATCTGCGCATTTGTCGTAGCCTTTAGTGGCCAAACTCCGTCGGGGTATGTAAGATTCAGCCAACTCGAGAAGCCTCCGGCTGGTCGTTTCTTCTTCGTTGTCCTTTCCCTTGTCTTTCTTTCCGTACTTTTTCTCCGCTTCTGCGCGGCTGCAAGGGTGCCAGGTCGATGCCACACTCTCGGAGATACAGATGCCCGAGATCGGTCCTTGGCCGATTGTTAGCAGAAGGGATATGAATCCCATCAGCATAAGCTCTGAAACCATGTTAACGGGTTGAGATTTTCGGATGAAGATGAAAAGACTGAATTGAAAATGCATTAAAAAAAAAATAGTTACCTGCTTTCACTTTTTCAAGAGCTTCATAGAGAGCTTTCTTGTGCTTCTTCTTGAACCACTGCAGAAACAGACCGTAGATTTTGAATACTGGATCAGAAACAAGAATGACCAAAATACAACCGAAACGCATAATTTAACTTCGGATAACACAGATTCCATTTTCCTTCTAAATCAGGCGAACCCTTTTGGATTTTGGTTCTCAGACGCAAACCCAGACAAGGAGACAGAAGAAACGAAGAACTAAACAAAAACCCATATCATAAAACTTCATTTGGAAGAGATTTCAAGAACTCTACTTGCCCAGACACAAATTCGGACATGGAGACAGAAGAAACGAAGAGTTACTGCTCCAATCTTGTGAATCTGATGCTCAATTACAGTAACAAGAACTAAACAAATCCCATGTCATGAAACTCCATTTGGAAGAGATTTCAAGAACTCCGCCACTGATGGAATCACTTGCGCAGACACAGAGACGGAAGAAAGGAAGACTTACTGCTCCGATCTTGTGAATCAGATGCTCGATGATAATCGAAATCAGAAGCAGAACGAAGCAAACCACTGCGACTGCCCACGTCGATGTCTCCTCCAGCGTACGTTCCTTGACTTTCTCTGCCATTGGAGAGCTTCAGTGTTCAGACAGAACCAAGAGCAAGTGTCTCGCTTCTGATCTGAGGGGAAAAAAATCTTTTCCAGAGGTATTTATTACAATTTTGATTTTATCTGTTTGCCCTTTTGGCCTTTAGTATTCACTATATAAACAACACGCAAAGAAGAGAACGACTTCTGATGCAGATGGAGGGCAATGGCTTCCTTGAAGAAGTCAAAGGTTTGACCATTCGCATATGACGGCTTTTCAATGCACCGTGTATAATCAGTACTTTATTGCCCTTTGTTTTTCTTGTAACGGTAACTCTTTTTTTGAAAATCAAGGACTAACGTTTTATATTTCGGCGTATTTCTTTTTGGGTTATGGATATTTAGGTTTTGTAAAATTTGTATTCATTCTTTTTCATTGTAATTTTTAATTTGGATTTCACATATAAGTATTTTTTTACTATTTTAAATTCAAGTTAAATTTAATTAATGTAATGTTTTAAATACAATACGATTTTAATGTCAATATAGTTATAGTATACGTTTGAAAAAAAATTTCATCTTAAAAAAGTATGATTAATTTAATATCATTCTTCTTACATTATTGGACGCTCTAAATTTTTATTTTAATGTAACCAATCTAATTCAAGTGGCTATAAACAAATATAATCGTTCCCCACCTTTCCTTTTTTTTTTTTGAAGTTTATTTTAATCTTTTTTTTTTGTTAAAGAAGTTTATTTTAATCTTGCGGAATCTTTTTGTTTAAAATAATATTTTCTCGAACAAAATTGTGCAAGTGTGCATTGTAACATACATATTTCTTAGAGATCTTAAATGTGAATTACTTTATATTAAAAATAATATAAATATTAGAAATAAAAACACAATACAGGAATGATAATCATGTGATCAAGATTTGCGATATTTTATAATTTTTATCATACATCTAGGATTTAGAACAACCCCGCCTGTGGCATGCATACAATTGGTAAACATATTCATAAACTATTTTTTTTGTTAAAGATTTATCCATAAACTAAGTTGAAATAGTCAAAGTTTTAAATTTTATTAATTATTGCATTAGGGCGTTCCTTTATTATTTGACTACGTAAATTTTTCTGGATAGGGATGACTGGATCCATGCAACATGATTTACTTATAATAAAAATCTTACCGTCGAATACTTTTGAGTTAGAACAAGCCGACTTTCCTTTAATAATATAGGCCTATATACGTTCCTTATCAAAACATTTTATGCGATTTAATTTGTCACAATATTAATTATTGTAATCAGGGAGAGAACGATAAAAATCTCGTGTATTTAACTTGACCGGTTATCTATATTGTAAATATCATATCATATTTCTATTTAATCACATAATGTTAAAATTGGAAATTCTATTGCTAATCATATCTCCCGCGTCAAAACTATCATAAACTCAACATTTTATGATTAAATTAATAAATTCGGTATAATTGGTACGTTGTCATTATAAATAAAATTAATTTGATACGGATTATTAAAGGTAAGGAAATTTTGTAGATTTTCTCTTAAAATAATTACAACTCAAACGTAACGCTTTAGTCGCCAAACAATAAAAAATGTAATAATGGTTGGCAGAAAAATTTAACAACATCGAGTAAGGACTGCCATTACCATATATTATTGTTTGACGAAGTCTGGGGATTGTGACTCGGAGGTTGACCCAACTTGAGTTCTCGATTCAATATTTCTATTATATTTTATCATTATTAATATTTAATTTCCTATATTATATATAGACAATGATATATTTATTTTGTAAAAGTGAATGACTTGCATTTAATGAATGCTTTGATACGTCAAAGGAATAAACACGAAGAGTTCCACATTAACTGTCTTATATCATAAACGAACCCGAAATGACATATAGTAATAAATAAATAAATCGATTCTGAATTGAATTCAAACATCATAACAAAGTTATTGAGCTTCCATCTCATAGACGTGGAGCATATGAGAAACAAGAGTTTTCTTCTCGAGTGGCAATAAAAATATCTAAAAAACCTTCTAATAGAGAAATCCTTAGATTTTTTTTTTTATTATAGAATATATTCTTAAATTATTATAAATATCTAGATAAATCTAATATAATATTTTTATATCTTGGTATATTTTGATAATCTTTTTCGATTCTAGTCCATATCTCTTGATACCTTTTGCAATAATAGACATCTTAATCTCCCATTTCCACTACTTTGTCGAGAAATATTTAAACTAGGGGTGGGCACTTCGGTTCGGGAATTTAGTACCGATCCGATCCATCCCGAAACCGAACCGAACCGAATAACGTTTGGTTCTAATTTGGTACACTTTTTATGGAACCGAATGAACCATTCCTGAACCGAACTGTATGAATACCGAATCGATCGAACCGTATGAATTCCGAACCAAAATTCGAATATTCCACTAATATATGTGTAAATATTATAGTTCGGTACTTATTTGGTATTCATATAATGGTTCCGTTCCGAACCGAACCGATACTAAAACCGAACCGAACCGTTTAACATTCGGTTCTAGTTTGGTACACTTTTTATAAAACCGAAAGTACCGTTGCCGAACCGAACCGCTTGAATACCGAATCGTCCATCTCTAATTTAAGCCATTGTTAAAGTAAGAAAATAACATATTAAACATCTAGAAGGTTCAAATCGATAAATGAAAAGATGAAACAAATATGGAAAACAAACAAGAAAAGAAGCAACTAAAAGGGAAGGAGATATACTCATCAAAGAGGAAAAGGGCAAAGTATATATTCAAAACATATTTGGATAATTATAGGGAGAAGCTTATGATACATAAGACTGCAACGTAAGAGGTTGTCGAGATATTTCCATTGAAGAGTATTGAGTGTAAGATTGGTGAGAGAGATCTATAAGAAAAATACTGGTGAGGATTATCTGATAGAGTGTGATGTGTACTTGACGGGGAGCCTTCAAATAATAGACGAACCGTTCACTGTGCCTAGACATACATGGTTTACGGTAACACGTGGTGTGCGTTGCACAAAATGTCTATGACTGATATAATTTCTTATGATATTGGAGTTTTACGGAGAGTGAAACTGGGTAAATTGAGTGCTATTTGGAAATGATTGAACTGTAATTGACACGTATCAAAGAAATAAAATCAGTTTGGAAATTCTTAACTTGCAAAATCATGTGAAAATGTTTTTTCAACCATGATAGTAGTATCATATATCCAATAATACTAAGCTCTGTCATTGTCTTCTCCCTTATATTTTTTTGGTAATCAAATATCTTGGAGCGAGATCCACACTGATACCGAAATCGGAAACAAGTAATGTGATTGGAAGTATGCTCGTCACCCTAACTTGAAACTTAAATTCAGAACGGGACATACGGTTTGTTTTTCTATTCGATCGATTGAACTATCTAAATTGGATATTCTCGTTATAATATATTATATACACAGTTCACTGCCTCTTTTATTTTTTTGCATAGACCACCAGTTCTCTTATTATTGATTTATACTCTTAAATTTCACAAGAAGATTAGGTACAGTTCTTATTCTTCTATCATCCATCTTCTTACTGTGATTTATAAGTTTTTTTAACATTGCATATTATCAAACATTTTATAAAAGTATTTATTACCAAGTAGAATTAATTTAGCACCGAAATCCGGTCTGGTTTGTCGCGTAAACAATGAAACCGGGGGTGGTTTTCTAAAACCAAGTCTGTATAAATTGGGCTAACTATCACATACGTGAGAATCATTATATGGACACGTTTTGAAAAATATTATATATATATATATATATATATATATATATATATATAGATAGATGATCATATAACAGACAATATTAATTGTACAAGTTGGAAAGCCAATTTAAATCACTCCAAATTCACAATTTTTTTAGCAAAAATTACAAGTACGTAGTTTCAACACATTATTTTGTAAAAACATTTTCACATTGATTTTTTTGGTTATTATTTATTCTTGAAATGCTTCTGCGATCATTGCAATAAAACCACCAATCCCTCCACCTTCTTCCTCTTCTTCACCTTCTTCTACTTCTTCTTCCTCTTCTTCTTCTTGTTCTTCTTCTTCCTCTGCCTCTCCCTCTTCTTCTCCGCCGTGTCCATGGCCGTGTTTACCGCCGCCTTGACGACGGTGGTGCATCACCTTCTTCAGGGCAACTTTTCCGGCGACTAGGGCGGCGGCCATCTTCTCCCTCTTTGATTCCTTCTTCTTCTCGTCTTCTTTATCGTCCTTGGAATGGTGAAGATGGAATATTCCCCGGCTCTTGTGGAATATTCCCTTCTCGTTCTCCGGCGAGGAATCCGGTGATGCTCCGGCGTCGTTATGCTTGAAGTGAGCCTCTAGACTTTGTTTCTCCATCCTCTGTTTTAGTTATGTTTCTATGTTCTTCTTTGTTGTCTCTTTGGTTTTTTTGGCTCTATGCAGATTCGTATACGTATATTTATATACTCACACGCACTTGAAAAGTGGAGACCACCCACCTCAACTTGCCTTTACATATACACATTTCTATAAATGCATGTGAATATATATATATATATATATATATATATATATATATATTATAGTTAATTTAGTTTGAAATGTTTGACTTGATCCAAACGTGACCGAGTCAAATTAATAGATGTAGGATTTTGGATTTATATATAGTGATGTAACTAATTTTTTTTTATATGTATATATATGTATATTATATGTTATCCATGTCAACATTTGATGAAATTGCAATTATAAAGAACGTTGTTAGGATTATATTAATCTGATAATCAAATAGGATAATCCTGATTATATATTTGAAAAAAAATATTTCTGACTTCTAATAATAGTAAAGGCATTTCCAATTAGAGGGAGAGAGAAGTGAATTTTCAAGGACGGCTAACCATTGGGCGGCTAATAAGAACCCCGTATTAATAATTAATTATCTTATTAATTACATATCAGTTTTGCAATTCTTGCGCAATTTAGTAAATTTGCTTTTTGTTTTTCACAAATGTTTATTCGTACGTAACTTCTATATTTACAGGCTATTCGAACTAAGATTTACCTTTATGTGACGTTTTAACGACGCCCCAAAATGTAACCACGAATTTTCGGTTGGATTTTTTTATTTGATTTTTTAAATAAATTATACCCATTTAATTTTTAAACTAATTTCAGATTTGATTTTTCTATTTTTATTTAAATTAAATTTTCATAGAAAAATATTATATTAAATAAACATTCATTTTTTCAAATCTTTTTAACATTCAATTTATATTTTATTATTTCTATTAATTTAATTTGAAAATGTATGTTATCTATGATAATTTTAGATTCGAATATAATTATATATTATAATATCATTGTTATAAATCTATGGTTATATATTTTTTATTATATCATTTTAAATTTAGTAATATATTACTTAATTTTTTATGTGTTTCATGTATTATATGCAAACCATCTATCATATTAGCTCATTTAATTGGTTTAATCGATTGGAGTGAAATAAGCAACCAAGTTTCTGCCAAAAAATAAAAATGAAGGCGATTTAAAATCGATTCATGTATAGTTGGGGTTACATATCCCCGATACTAATAAATCAAATTAAATTATTTAAATTAAATTAGTGACACGTACTTATTTAGATACGGCCATGTGCGCAGGTCACATAGAGTTTGACCAACGCCGAGTTTGACTTCGTCAAGAGAGATAATTAATATAATAATATCAAAGTAAGATGCAAGTGGATCATCAAGTGGGTGCCCGACCAACCAAATCCGATGGTTCATTTAATCTTACGACCCCATTCCTCTATTTTTCATTTTTTTTTCCTTACATATATCTATTTGAAAACATCTTTACATTCTTCGATTTTGTTTATATATATATATATATATATATATATATATTTATGACATCACATGGCTATCCCATCCATACATTAGCTGGGTTCAAAATTAAACCCACAATAAACCAACCAGACCGATGAAATTAACGACACAAAGTTTTCAGATATTTAACAAATCAAACCCTCTACATGATTTAGATCATTTTGGTTCGAAAATCAAATCAAACCGAATAACATATATATATATATATATATATATTAAAATTTGATTTTTTAAAAAAAGGATGAGGATAGTTTTTAATATTCAAACGTGAAAATAATAAAACCTACTCCGAACTTTGAAATGAATATTGTCTTTAAAATATGGATAATAGTAAGAAAAAAAATCAAATAACTCCGTTTTATTTTTTATTTTCTGAATAAAATCGAGGCCTGTTTCGGCCCATGTTTAGACAGATCAACTTCCGGCCCAATTACTAACCATACCCTTTAAGAAGTGGTCAATGGTCGGTCGTGAAAGGGCAAAAAAGGTAAGATAATTAATAATTACCATTAACCGCGATTTTTTTCATTAAACAATTAATCATCATATATTGTTGATTTTGTTTTGTATGCTATAAGTGTAGTGATTTATTTACATTTGTTTGCGTAATGCACGTAAGTTCATATCCTAAACATCTATAGTCTCAGACCAATTTCTTATTTTTTGGCTGATTAAAAAGATATTTCCACTGATTTTTCCCCATGCTGATATTTTGTTTTAGAAAATGGAAATAATTTAGTGATAGAATCAAGGATGTCTAAATAATTTAATGGAATTAATGATTATGGTGTAGATTCTTGATAAATAATTTACAAGTGTTCTCCTAAAATATTCTGAGGTGTCTTTTTGGTTTTAGTTTCTTATCAGGAATTTTATTGTTGTCAAAATGGGTAAAATAAAACAGAAAATGATATATGCTTTACCGGAAAAAATAAAACACCCAAGTCAAAATAATGATCCAACGGCTGAGAATGCATCTGAATGCCAAAGAGCGAAACGATTGCCTCGCTTTAAAAACAACAAAATAGAAAGGAAAAAAACGAAAATCTAATATAATAAACCCTAAAAGAAACAAAAAAATGGAAAAGAAAATATGAAAAAAAAATCCCTAATTCTCTCTCTCTAGATTTTTGCTCTCTCTAAAAAGGAATGGAACCCAACGAAAGCCATCACCAGCAACATCAGCATCTCAGTCCTCCCTACTACCACCACCACCACAGCCTCAGCCTCCATCACCATCACCCGACCACCGATGGAACCGCCGCAACCGCCGCCGCGGTTCCATCCTCCCACAATGGGATTTTGTCGCCGCCGCCGCCGAACGACGGGTCATCCCTTGTCGTGTACCCTCATTCGGTGCCGTCATCGGCGATGACGGCGCCGATTGAGCCGGCGAAGAGGAAGAGAGGGCGACCGAGGAAGTACGGAACGCCGGAGCAAGCCCTAGCGGCTAAGAGAATGGCGTCTTCTGGGAGCGGCTCGTCTGCGAGGGAGAGGAGGGAACATGCGGCTGCGGCTGCCGGAGTTACGACGTCATCTAATTCTGGGTCTTCGAGAAAATCTCAGTCGAGTTCTGTCGGTGAGTGTTCTTTTTCGAGAAAACTCTTTTGCTGCGTCATCGAATTATTGATGAATATGCTGTTACAGCTGCAAAGTTTTGAATTTTCTGGTGAATTTCGATGTTCTTGTCGTAAATGTTTCGAAATGTCGGTTTTAGTGTGGAATTTGTTGAATTTTGCTGTCTTGGTGCTCTTGCTTGCAAATGTAACTTGACATGAGGATTTTGTAAGATTTGGTGTTTTATGAGCAAGTTGATCTCTTTTTTCACGGTGAGCTTATTGTTGATGCGGCACGAGGATCAGTGATCTGTAACGCTGTTTTCTCCGCAGCCAAATTGATTTGAATTCTGTGGTTTATGTCTGCAAATCTTTATGCTTTAGTTAACCCTTCATTGAAAAACGTATTAGTTCACTCTTTGTTTTAGTAGTTTACATCCTTTGAGCTTCCATGTTTGAGTGTTTCCATGGGTGATACATACGAAGACAAACCTTGTGCTGTAAATACATGGAAGTGTGTGCGAGGTTACTGTTTTCTGGCTGTCGACACTTGTTTGTGTCTAAAAAGCCTTAAATGAAACTGTTGATCATTAAAATCTCCACAAACCAATGGTTTGTCAGTTATACTGTTTAGGATGGATGCTTCCACTGATTAGTGTGATTTATGATTTATCATGTTGGTTACATCCCAATTTGGTTCAAAACTTCAAATCAGTTGTTAATACTTTAATCTCCTAGATACATATATATATGCGATTCTCCATTTCCGGAGCTTTCCACCCTTGAAACGTTCTGGTTGGTTTATGCAGGAAAAACTGGGCAAAGCTTTACTCCACATATTGTTAACATAGCTGCCGGCGAGGTAGGCATTCTTTGCCATGGGGTAAAAATTGTGCATGAGTTGATGTATTCAAGAATCATTTAGCCTGGTATAGCTTTGTGGGCTCTTTTTCGAAGGCTTAGATTTGATTAAACTTGCAAATCTGTTGATTTAGTTCTTATTCTATGTAGCGTCTTTTCGAATTTATGGCAGAGGGATTTGCTAGAGGTCGTCTATGAAATGAACTGTCTTTTCACTAACGCTAGACAAATCAGAGAATAATCCAACCCTTTTTTTATATGTTTTTTTATGGCTGGTGCTGATAGGATGTGGCCCAAAAAATTGTGCTTTTTGCACAACAAAGCAAACATGAATTATGCGTTCTTTCTGCGTCGGGCACCATCTCTAATGCATCCTTGCGCCAACCGGCTTTATCTGGAGGCATCGTATCTTATGAGGTGGTCCTCTTGTTGCTATCACTGCTCTGTTCTTTAAACTTGCTTTTATTTCTGTTTCTCCGTGGAAAAAGAAAGGTAGTGGCATGGATTTTGGAAAGGCCCTTCATTTCACTTCAAGAGCAGAGTTTAATAGTTCTTACTTATTGTGTGAGCTAAAAGAATCGATTCTCAGTTCACTCTATTCTCGAAATTCTAAGAGGATTAGTTTTTGGGTCTTATTTACCCGGCATTATGTTCAGAATCCTCATGTCTTGATCACTATGTATTTTATGCATTTATATCTTCTTGTTACAAACTACTGTTGCATGATCTTTTTTTCAGGGTCAATATGAGATTGTCTCACTGTGTGGATCATATATTCGGGCAGAGCTTGGAGGTAAAAGTGGCGGTCTTAGTGTCTGTTTATCTAGCTCGGATGGTCAGATCATCGGTGGAGGAGTTGGGGGGCACCTAATAGCTGCTGGCCCAGTTCAGGTACAATCCTGTACTATTGCAACTCACGTGTTTGGACATGTGTGCGCGACTGGACGTGTGTCAAATTTTATACATTCATACATACTTTCTTTTCCAACTATATTAGATTCAACATCGCCGATTGAGAAGATTTGCCAACAAAAATATAGTTCATCCTCATCACGTCCTATTGTATGAGTTCTGCCTTAAACATACTTGAAACTGGAAGCGAAAACAAGGGTTATGTTACAAAATTTTGTTAGGCTAAACTTGTCAGTTTGGTTGATTCTCTTACACAGGCTGCTTGTTTGTCTGCTCAAAATACAGGTGATTCTCGGTACATTTCAGCTTGACAGAAAGAAGGATGCGAGTAGTGGTGTGAAGGGTGATGCTTCTAGCAGTGGAAGCAGGTTGCCCTCTCCTGCTGGCAACTCGTTGATGCTTGGCATTGGCTTCCGGTCTGGTATGGAATCATCGGAAAGAAATCCAATGAGGGGAGATGATCATCATCATCAAACCGCCATGGGCGCTCATTTCATGATTCAAACACCCCAGGGCGTGCACATGACGCATTCTCGGCCTTCCGAGTGGGGAACCAGCGGCCATGATGGTAGGAGCAGTGCCGGTTATGATTTATCAGGTAAAACCCACCAGTTGTTTCATCTGAACGTATGAGCATGTTTGCCAAACGCATTCATATATGCATGTGTCTACCTTCTCGTTTCTGCATATAATAAGTAATATGTTCCATGAGTAAGCACTCGCTTCTTGGTGGTAGGTAGATATGTCCCTGACTGAACCAGATATGGAACTCCGAACCAAACTCTCAAGTGAGAGATTGGTTTATGGATGCTGTTTTTGGTTAAATATTTAGCTTTTGCTTAGTTGAACCAAATCTCTGATCCAAAGTTCCAAACCCGTTTAAGACTGTTCAACCCTTTTCCAAATTTGCGCTCTCAAGGCTGTGTAAGTTTGATTGACCCCAATAAGGTATTTACAGGGAATTGTAAAAGTAGAGATCCTCCTTTTGTATTGTACCCACGATTCTTAATATCTCTTAGTCTGAGATGATGAGTAAAGATGCATTGAAGATCCAGAGCTGATATCCTGTCCTTGAAGAGTTAGCAACAATGTCAGGATTGAGTTTATTTTCAAGACCCTGTCCATTGTCCTATCTAAATGCATACTTCCAACAGAAACCAGTTTTTTTCTTCCAGTTTTCGAGTTTTTTTCCCTTTGTCCTAAGTCGTGAACCGAAACTCACACTCTCTTGTGCAGGAAGGATGGGAAACGGGCCACAGGAAAACAGAGGCTACGAGCAGATGCCAGATTAGGACTGGGGACGACGAGAGTAGGGCTTTAGGTGGAAACGGAAAATGGAGGAAGAACTAAAAAAGGAAAGAGGACATTTTATGATCATGTCTGAAGATCTTCTCTTCAGAAAGACAAGACAGGACGGCACAGAAGAACTCTTCTCTTCTTTTTTCTTTTCAGTTGTAATATAACTTCAGTTCACACCCTTTTCGCTTCTTCCTCTGTTTCATCTTTCTTTTAATCATTTTTCTCTTTTTTGTCTTTTCCTTTTCTCTGTAATATAACTTCACACCAACTGTTTGTTTATGGTAATTTCAGACTTCAGTTATGCCTGAACAAAGGCTGATTTTTTTTTTTGGCGAAAGTGATAACAGTTAAGAAACGTGAAAAACACTCCAATTTTATTTATTCTCCTATTTTAATATTCGATATTCTTGAGATTCGCTGTTTTAGTATTTAAATTTTATAAAATATTCAAGCTATGTTGTTGTAATAAGTTATAAGTGAAAATAAATATTGATTATGAAAATGTATAATATTAAAAATCTGAAATTTTAGATTTTTCTTGGATTTGATTTTTTAATAAGATTATTATCTCGGCAATTTTCGTTTGATTTAGGGATAATTCCATTTAAAACCCTGTACTTTTCTCTCGTCTCAATTTAAACCCCATACTTTTTTTTGATCCAAAAAAACATTGTACTTCTAAAAATTGGCAATTAAAACTCTATACTTTTAAAAATTGGCAAATAAAACCCTGAACGAAAAACAATATTATTTAATGCTGACATGGCATCCTAGTCATCTGCCACATCATCAATCCCTAATATTTAATAATATTAATTAATAAAAAATAAAAATAAAATAATAATAATAAAAATAAAAATTTAAAAATTATATATATTCATAAAATTATACACATATATAAACATGTTTATAAAAATTTTAAAATTATATACATATATAAATATATTTATATATACATATATACATATATATACATATGATATATATATATCTATATATGTGTATAATTATTATATGTTTTAGAGATAATTTCATTTAAAACCCTTTACTTTTCTCTCGTCTCAATTTAAACTATATACTTTTTTTTGATCCAAAAAAACATTGTACTT